GTGCCCCATTTATTTCTCTGTCTGGCTCCCCAAATGCAGAACACTTGTTGGCTTTTTCCAATTCACAGCCATAGAAGCAGCATCCAGGTGCTGCCACTGCAGCCCTTCCAACCTCTGGGTACCCAGCAAACACCACAAGGAGCCCCAGGCCCACAGGACATCCCTGACACCCCTGCAAGTGGTGAATCTGCAGCACAGAGAACCCAGAAACTGCCTCTGCCCCATCTGCCTGGAGCTTCCAGGGCCCCAGGGATGCTCCAGTGCCAGCCTCAGCACTGAGCCTCACACCCGAGGGAAGTGGGAAAGCCAGCTCCAGCCGAGAGGAGGAGGATGGCTTCAATATCCTTGTTTAGGAGAGGAAAAAGGCACCCAAAATGGCAGCTGGAGCCGTGTCACCAGCTGCACAAGTACAGCAGGAGGGATCTCACCAGCACCAAATTCCCTGGCTTCCAAGGGAGGAGGGTGAGAGGGAGGAAAAGAGAAGCTCAGAGACACACACAACAGCATCATTCATGGGAGCTGAGTTTCTGCAACAAGGGTCCTGTGTCTGGCCCGGAGCTCCGGGTAATTAAAACAGCAGCCACAGATCTCTGAGAAACAGCAGGAATTTATCCAAGGAATCCGGATTATGTGGCCACTGCTGAAGCAGGGCAGAAAGTCCCCAGCTGCTGGAAGGCAAAACGCTGGCGAGCGATGAGCAACCAGCTCTGTGCCCCAGCTGTTCCTGCCTCACCCAGACATGCCAGAGCCTCCTCCTGCCACATCGTGGGGCTGGGGGATTGGTCCTCCCTCCACACAGTCCCACCAAGGGGACAGGGAGGGCCCTGGTCCCCAGCTCTCATGTGGGCTTTGCTGCAGCAGGCAGAGGTGATGACATCGTGCCTGCACTTGGAGGCACACAGGGAAGATGAGGGGCTCATGGCTGCTCCAGGGGCACGTGGCAAACCGAGCAATCTGTGGTCCCAGAGGTAACGGCGCTGGTTTGCAGCTCTAAGGACGGGGTTTTCCAATCTGGTCCGGCCTTGGAAGCACGCACGGGATTTCCAACACAAGTGAAAAGAGGCAGGATGCTGAGCAATCTCTTGAAAATCTTACCAGCACAGTTGTTTTCTAGGAGCAGCCATGGACCCTTCAGAAGATCCCTGGAGGGGATCTATGTGCTCCCTGTTCTCATGTGGATCATGCTAAAACAACCTCCTGCCCTCTCTGTCCTCTGTCCCGTGGGGCCAACTGCCCCTGGCTACAACTCGCCCCCCAAGCCAGCACTGAGGGAACAATGTCACTGCCACGGGTCCAGCAGAAGGAGCTCTGTGGAAAACTCCACTTCCCCCTTGCCTGCGGCAAACTAACTTGATCTCCTTATCCCTAAGGAAAAACCCCTGTCCACCCAGCATGTTTTGGGCCATTCCTGAAGGGATCATTTATCAGCAGGAGGAGTCTCCAACATAAGTCTTGGGGCAGGTATGAGATGGAATTTTTCACTAAGCACTGCAGCTGACAGAGCCCAGAGCCACAGTGTTTCCTCTTTCACACAACCCAAAAGAAATGGCTTTCAAGATGTTACCCACACCCTGTTATCACAGGTATCTTTACAAGCCACATCAAGCCAAGTTTAGCACTGGAGTTCCAAATGAACAAAACCTCCTTGAGCATTTTCACAGCCTTGACAAGATGACTGATACAAGCATCATCAAGACATGATCAAATACAAAATAATGCCCTTTCTTTGATGAAAAGTGGGGGTTCTTTTCACCTGATGGCCTCTTGGGCGGGTGATGTGCTTCACCAGTCGGTCCAGGACAGTTACCCCTTGGCTTTGGGAGTGGGATCACCCACATTCAGACAGTGGGCAGCCGGGCACGGCCCGAACGGAACACCACCAAAATCGCTCGAGTTTGGAAGAAAAGCAGAGCCTGAGCCCCTCAGCCGCTTCCTCTGCCCATGCCCTGCCCTTTGCATGCCCCCGCGCTGATCCGCACCGAGCCCACCCTGCACCAGTCCCGCAGCCCTTCCCGTCGCTGAGCAGCAAACGCGACCTCCTCCTCTCGCCGCAGCCCCGCACCGGGCTCGCCCCCCGCACCGGGCTCGCCCCCCGCAGCCCCGAGCCCCGCACTCACCTGCCCGCCCGCGCCGTCCCGCCCCGCACGGAGCCGCGGCCGCGGCGCGGCGGAGCCGCAGCCCCAGGGAGCGGCCGGAGCCCCGGCGGGGCAACGCGGCCCCGACCCCGGCCCGGCCGCCCATCGCTCGGCTCCGGCGGGACGGGCGGGAGCGGCGGCTCCTCCCCCGCCGGGATGCCCGGACGGGACCGGGGCCGCTCGCTGGGAACGCCCGCTCCTCTTCCGCCCGCTCCCCCCGCCCGGAGGAGCCTCCCCAGCCGCGCCCCCGGCCGAGGAAGCCGCTCTCCCCGGGGCCGCTCCCGCCGCCCCGTCCTGCAGCATCCCCGGGACCCCGCTCAGCCCCCGGCCTGGGGTCAGGCGTCACCAGGGGCCGAGGTCCAGGTGATGCTGAGCCACGGGTTCCACCTGCATCCTCCCAAAACTGAGTCACCCCCGCTCCGGCCCCACACCACGCCTGGGCGCTCGCTCGCTGCCGCCTCCGCTCCCGGGGGCGGGCGGGTGTTCAAAGCCCTGCGGACACTCCGGGCAGGGCTCAGAGGCTCTTCATTAAGGGGAGAAGGAATTGACGTGATCAGACTGGCCTGCGAACACCTCTCACCGCTTTTTCCCCATTTGACCTCTCAGGCTTTGAAAACAAACGCCCGTGAGCATCGCACAGCCCCAAGAGGCTCCCACGGCCCCCTGCCTGCTCATTTACACCACGTTCACCCCAGAAGGACAGAGGGGCAATTTCGGACGCAGGAAGCATTACCTTCCTGTGCATGTTTAAGGAGTTTGCACGACAAAGCTCCAGCCAAAGCAAAACCATTGCCCAGCTGAACCTTTCTGCCAGTTTTCAGTATATTCTCTCATTATCATTTCAGGGAAGTGACCACACTTGGAACTTCTCTCTCAGCCCCTTCCATCCCACACAAACCACCCCAAGGATGCAGCTAGAACTTTACAGTCGGTCTCAATCTCTCCTTGCTGACAAAGGAAAAACTTGGCAACACCGCGGGCACCAGGTGGCCACAGGGGCCTTTTCCCAGCTCATTCCCTGCACTTCCCACCTGCCACGCAGTTCACCAACAGAGAAAATCCCTCTCTCTAACCCAGGCTCATCCTTTCTGGCCTTCAAAGAAGGATCCTGCTGTCCAGAGGGGGGGGGGATCTGTATTTTGTTACCTACAGGAAACAGGAAAATTTCCATCCCTGGAATTAAAGCTGCAGAAGGATGGAGCTAAGCTGGGGGAGGGGGCTCTGTCACTGCAGTAGTTGCCAGGGGGTCAGAACTACAGACATTTTATGGGCAGAGGGGCACAGAGATGAAAACTGGCCTCATTCAGGGGCTGGGGGTCTCCAGCTTATGAAAAAGTTTCCCCACGATCATTTTTTGGAAAAGCAAAATGTGGCCAAGTTGGTTTTGATTTTCTTTTAAAGTGTTTTTTGTCATTTCCCATTTTCACTGGTTCCTCAGGAGCCAGGCGTGGCAGCATGGGCCCTTGGGGAGAGAGGTGGGAGAGGGCTGGGAGGAGGGACCAGCATCCTGCATGGTCTAAAGAACATAAAGGTGACACGGGAACAAACAAAATGTGTTTAAAATTGCTGTAGCCAAGGCACTAACAGGCATCCTCTGCATGCCCATGTCACTGCCCTGCTGGTTCCTCTTAATTACCCGAGGATGGAATTCTGTGCCTGGTTCCGTGGGCTCACATGGGATCCACCACCCCTGCAAACCTCCTGCACCCACGACAAATATCCCAGAGTGACCCATGGGGAAACGTGGGAGCCTGGCTGTGCCAGGGCACTAGCACCAGCCCAGGGCACCAGCACCAGCCCATGTCCTAGGGCAATTTAACCAACAGGGATAAGTATGCATCAAAAGGCTCAGCAGCTCCAAAATAGCCTCAGGGGTGCACTGATGAGCTGGAAGGGAAAGGCTGGAGATCATGTCTGGAGCCTCAGGAGAGGCTGTCCCAGCTCCTAGGGAAACATCTGATGGAAGGGGCACAAACTGCTCTGGCAGGGTGAATTTTAGTGTATAAAGCCTTGTTTAGGAATTACCTCATTATTTTTTTGAAAAACTTTTTTACTGATAAAAGCACATGTACTGGCCAGGCAGGGATCCATTCCTGGTGAGGGGAGGGTGCAGGAGTAAGGCCACAGAGACTGTAATTGAGAGAAGATGAGAGTATTTGAGGAACATCTCCTTTCCTTCATGAGGAATAGGCCAAGGAGTAGCAGAGCTCATCCCCGGGATGCAGAGCCAGGAGGGACCCGGCATTAGTTTGGGGTGGAGGTCAGTGTTTCAGTGTGAGTCACCAGCTGAGCCTGAGCCCAAGCCCAGGCAGGCAGGAAAGAGGAAGAAGAAGGAGCAGCAGCACAGAATCCCCTCATCACATGTCCCACCAAAACCACTAATAATCACATTCGGTTCAGCTTTTCTACTTCCCACCTCTCCAGCCCACACCCAGCCCTGTGACTGCCTTTTCCACCATGTAACAGCAGCAGTTTCTCAGCAAGTTCCAAAATTGCCCAGAACAGGTCCCTGCTGCCATGTCCAGCAGCCCACCCAGCCCAAGAGTCCCCCCAGATCTCCCCGGCACTGACACCACAGACGGGGTGTGGCCCCAGTGCCGAGGGCAGTGGTGCAGCCCCTGCACACCCACCAGTCCTGGCACAGCCCCCTGCCTGCCCATGTCCCTTCCAACCCATCTTGGCAATGATAAAACCAGATCCCAGTCCCCGTTTTCTCCCCAAAACCCAGGGAATTGAACACATGGGCACAGGCCAGGAGAGGAACAGGGGCCTCGTGCTCAGGCCACAAACCCACCGAGCCAGCACAGGAGATTTGCATGTGAGGAGAGAAGAACAGCTCAGCTGTGACAACACATCAACAACAGCTAAATTTAGAGGGTTATTTTCAGCAATCCAGATGCTGGGTAAATACAACCTTATTATTTCATGCAGGGGTAAAAGTTCAGCCGAGTCTCTTGTGCTGCTTTTCCCCATTAGTTCACCATGTCCAGCCAGAGGAGCCCACCCTGAAATGCTGCAATGTCACCTGGCTGTGCTGCCAGGAGCCACCAGTTCCATCCCTGTCCCTCAGCAGTGAGAGGAGTCACTGCTCAGTGACATCTGCAGAGCACCTCCCAATCCCTTTTGGAGGGTCCTGGTGCTGCTATTGGCAGGAGTTCATTCTGAGGATGCAGTTTTCACGTGCACGGCCAGTCTGTGAGCCTTTCCTTTCTGCTCTTCCAGAACAATACATGGGAAGTGAATGCTGGAGAGGAAGCAGAGGGTTAGGAAATCCATGGAAACCTGACCCTGCTGGGACTGTGCAGAGGCACTGTGTCCCACCCAGCTGGAGGTGCTGCTGGAGGGGACCACAGGGTGGGCCAGAGGGGGTCCTGCCACAGGCAGGGCAGTGGGAGGGACAGTAGGGACAGGCAGGTATCAGCTGGGGTGGTGTGAGTGTCATTGAGCCTTCACCAGGAGAGACCTGGATCCTACAGGCAGTTTTAATGAAGGGGAAAACACCTATAAATGTTCTTCCCCAAAAAATCTCAGTCACAGTGTTATCCAGCCCTGCCTCTTCCTTTCCACGGGGCTCTTTAACCCTTTTCAAAAAGCTCTTGACATTCATGTTCCTAATCTCTGCCATGAAAGGGCCAGAGACCACCCAGGATACCTCTGGGGCTCCCTCACAAAGTACCTTTTGTTGCCCAGAGCTCTCCTGTGCTCCCAGCTCTCTCCAGCTGGGCTCAGAGCTCACCTAACCCTTACCTGGATGAAAACAAGAGGCCCCTGGGCATTGCCCTCCAATCAGGGGACTGGAGACTCCCTAGCACATCCCATGGGCTCCCTGCATGGCAGGTTTCCCTTTTCATGGCACCAAGGCTCTGGCCAACACTGTGGGCAGCCACTCTCCTCCTGACTCCGGTGCCAGAGCCACCATCCCCAGGGCCTGTCCTGAGCCCTGTGTCAAAAGCAGCAGAGCCGCCCTGGGCTCCAGGTTCCCCATTTCCAGGGCTGTCAGAGCCAGTGTCCATGGGCTGTCTGTAGGATGGAATGGTTTGATTCTGGGGGTGTCACTGTGCAAAGACCCCCATGGCACTGACCAGTGGGATGACAAAAGGCGGGACCTCGACCCTCCTGCCCACAGCCCCATCTCCATCCCTGGTTCCCAGCCCTGCTGGCACACAACCCCTCCTTCTCCTCCTCCCACCAGCCTTCCCAGCACCCACGAGCCCCACAGGGTAGGGCAGCCCCAACCCCCAGCCTGTGCCCCCACCCTGGCAGAGGTTTGGTGGAGCTGCACACAATCCCCGTGGATCAGCCTGGAGCTGCACCACGAGTCCCTCCTGCCCCACGGTCACACGTGAGACACCTCAGTCACACAGAGCCAAGGGGCTCTGAGCCAGGGAGACCCTCCTTCCCGGGTCACAGCAGTGCCGAGGCTCCAAAGCTCCCAGTGAGTTTATCTGCAGAGCACAAAGCTGTTCACCACAAAGAGAGGAATCGAAAAGGAACCAAGGCCCTTTGCAAATATATCCCTCTGAAAACAACAGTCTGGGGGCAAAATCACACTGCTGACAGATGAACCCAGGAGCCCAGCAAGGGGACTGTCTTCTTCCCATGACCCCTGCCCATCCCACAGCAACAATATTCCTGCCCAAAAAACATTGCCATAGCTTACCTGCATCTTTCCTATCTTCTAGAAAAGTAAAACTCTGTGAAAAGAAAGAAAAAAAGAACAGAAATAATTTTTTTATAGATTTGATTCTCATACTCAAGGACTGCTACCCCTCATGTCTAGGCTCAGTCCCCCCTCCAGCCTCTCCTCTGCCCAGAGAGAAGCTGGGACCAGAAGTGCTGCTCTGGCTCTGAGGAGAAGCACAGTTCTGGCAAAGGCTTCTCCCCAGGGCATCAGCCCCATTGGTTTTAAAAGGCCAGCACCACCCACAACCCTGAGTGCTGGGCAAACACAATGTGCCCAGCACGCCCCCACCACCCCAGCTCCAAGGAAAGCCAAGAGCAATGGGATTCACAGCAGTGGAGCCTCAGCAGCACTTGGGAGATGGCAGCAATTTGCAGAGGTGGAGCTAAGGGTCCCCCACTCCCCGGTCCTGAGGCAAGCCCAGAGCCCGGGACCCCCGGCCCGCTCCGGGTGCAGACGAGCCCTGGAGCGCTGCCACAGCCCCGCGGACGGGCCGGAGGGGCCGCAGGATCCCTGCAGGAATGCAGAGCGCTGCTGAGCCGGCCTTTCCCACGGACCCCCGGGACCCCTCTTCCTGCCGGGGCAGCAGGGCTGGGAATGACCGAGGAGAGATGGGTTTAACCATGTCCCTGCTGCCGGGCTTCCCTCAGCAGCGCCTGCCCAAGAGGGGCCATCAGTGTGGCCGGAGACATCACTGTGACCTCACAGAGAGCCCACATCCATGGGGGTGGGCACTGGGCTCCTCCAGCTCCTTTGGCATTGCCCAGTCAGTTCCCACACCTTCCTTTTCCCACGAAATCTTCCGCCAGCCACAGCTCCACCTCATTTAACCTGGAAAGCTTTAATTCCACAGAGCCCAGCACGTTTCTCCCTCTTCAAGAAATTCCTCGGCTGTTCGTGGTGAGCAGAGCAGCTGAGCAACACCAGCACGGAGGGAGAGGGGCCAGACTGAAGCAGAAGCCTCAGCCCCACACAAGGCCATCAGTGTGCACCAAGGGCACCTAGGAAGGTGGTGCCCTGGCCAGCTGGGCCACCAGACCCCACGTCGGGCTGAGGTGACACGCTGAATCCAGTGGTCTACTGGCTGCTTCCAACATCACTGAAGCCCCCAGGCACCGGAGCCAGCATGGGCTGGGCTGGAGGCCTTGGGATCTGCAGCTGGGCAAGGTGGATGCAGGAGCCAGTGTCCGTCTCTGTGCCACCACGAGTACGATGGCAATGCCAACATGCAGCACGCAGGGACAAGCAGGGTTAACGAGGACAGCTGAGCTCTCTGGAGACAGCAGGGACAAGACAGCCACTAATATTACTAATGAATTTCACAAATGTCATTTTTAGACTCAACTATTTTAAGCATTGCCCTGAAAGCCCGGGGGACAGTGTGCATTCCACATCCATTTCACCGCAGCAGATCCACTCGCCCGGCTCAGCCTGGTGTACAGGTCTGTCTGGAGAGGGATTTTATGCTTTTCCCAATCTGAAGCTCCCAAAATCCACACTAACCATATTTCTACGATCTTCCCAGCTCACCTCCCACCACACTGCGTGGGCTGGGACACAATAAACCAATAGTGATCAGAGGCAGGCAGGGAGATTTGCTCTTTATTAAGGCGACAGATGACGAATTAAAGCCCAATGAAAAATCCCAGATGCCATGAGAGCCGCTGCTGCAGGAAATTAAAAACTGGGGGCCCCCGGCCTCGCTGCTCCTTTGTCATGTCGTTCACAGCCACCCTGGCCCTGCGGGTCGGCCAAGGCAGCCGTGCTCCTGCAACGGGAGCAACCCGAGCCTCTGAGTTCGAAGGGGTGTCCCAGCCCAGCTACGCCACCCGAGCATGGCAGGACCACCTCGGAGGGCCAAAAGCACACCCAGACACACGCAGCCCCCGAGCCCACCGCCGCTCTCTCCGGGCACAGCCCCCGCCCCCCGGGGCTGCTGGTGCGGGACATGGTGACCCAGTGACGGTGACCCAGTGACGGGCAGCGGGCGAGCACAGGCACAGGGACCAGCACACCCACATGCGGCCCAGCCAAAATGAACCTCTCACGTGCACGTGGGGCACGGGCACGACACCCCCCAGAGCAGACGCTGACACTGTGAGCAAACCGAGCGCCGCCGGGGATGCGTCCCCGTCGTCCCTTCCAGAGGCTTCTCCTGAAATTGGAGGGTGCCAGCGGCAGACACCACCAAGCAGCGGTCCCTTACCTTGGCTCTTCTGAAGCAAGACCAGAAAAAGTCCAGCAATGGCATGATGGGCAGGCGAAGGGCCGGCAGAGCCCCCCTAGAGCGCGGCGCTGCCCCCGGCGGGGAGGGCCCCCCCCGGCACCCCCATGGCAGCGCCCGCGGCAGCGGAGCCGGGCAGAGCCCAGTGCGGGCAGGAGCGGCCGGCGGGCGGAGGGAGGAGGAGGAGGCAGCGGCGGAGGCGGGCCAGCATTCAAACCCTGCACCGTTATTCAGTTGGTTGTGAACAGGCTTGGACGCGATTGAAATTCCCTGAAGATTGCGAGTTTTAAACAGCTCCAGGCTTTCCTTCCTGCCTGGAACGCACCGCCTGCTCCCATTCCCAGGCAGCGTGAAGGGGCGAGGGGAGAGAGACACTGGAATGGGAGAAAGGCACTTGGAGCTCTCAAAGGCACACGTAGGACGCTGAAAAACGGACGGTTCAGATTGTCACTCCAGTGCTGCCCAAGCTGACTGGCAGCTCCCGGTGCTCTCCCCTCCGAAGGACAAGGGATACCCAGCCATGGTGTCATCCCTGGATGCCCCTGCCACGGCTTCCCGCATGCTCAGGTGCTGCTGGCCCCACTGCGGGCACAGGAGGCAGCCAGGTTCCCCTTGGCCACAGCTGGCAGCCAGGCCCACCATGGGCACCCAGGCTTACTGTGCCGAGCACGGCGAGCACCCTCAGCACAGAGCAAGGGCACGAAGGGCCAGCCTGCAGGAGAGACCCCAGCAGAGGGAACAACACAGGGAAAACCACCCCCAGCCAGCAAATATGACTGAGCCATTCACTCCAGCTATTCACAGCTCCTTATCTGCCTTCCACAAACATCATTTGTTTCCAAAGGCCACAATTAAAGGTCCCTTCATGAGCATTTGTGCCAGCCCTCCGCTCACAGCCCCAGGATTCCTCCTGCAGGCACAGCTCAGAATAAGCAAGGGCAACCATCTCCAGCGATGCCCGGGCTCAGCCCTGCTCCCACAGGATCCTCGGTGGGTGCCACCCACACTGCACTGGCATCGGGCTTGCCCGTGGCATTGCTCCTGCCCACTGCCCATCCCAGGCTGGGGTCAGCTCCACATGCTGCAGGGACGGTGCTGCCCATGCCCAGCCTGGCGCCCATGCAACTCCCTGCAGGCAGGCACAGCTCTGCCATGACCCCGGCACAGCTCTGCCATGACCCCGGCACAGCTCTGCCATGGCCCCATCACAGCTCTGCCATGGCCCCATCACAGCTCTGCCATGGCCCCAGTACAGCTCTGCCGTGGCCCCATCACGGCTCTGCCATGGCCCTGGCAGCAGGTCACAGGCAGATGAGTCCCAGCACTGGCTCCAGCTGCCTCCTTCCATCTCCCCTCACTCATTCCTCAGCGGGCTCTGGCACTGCTCCCAGGCTTGGCACCAGCTGCAGCTCCTCACCCTGTCCCCCGTGTCACTGGTGTTCCTGGGCCAGCTCAGCGGGGCCAGGGGCACTGAAGCACAGTGCAAGCTTTGTATTATCAGTCCCTTTTCTCCTCCTTTCACGCCCGGGGCTGGGAAGGCAGTCTCACCTCTATGGCACGTGTCCCACCGGGGTCACCTTTCCATGTCCACTGCCAGACATCCCCACACATCTCACCAAGCACTGCTGCCAGAGGACTGAGCTGGCAGGGGCCACCACTGCGGCCAGGACATGGAAGGGCACTGCCACCATGATCCTGGGAAAGGCTCCACCACTGTCACTCAGGGCAGCCCCAGGAGGCTGTTCAATGCTTCTGCAGGTTTTGCCCTCAGAGCAGGGCACTTGGGCCTGGGCTGGGGCTGAAGGGACCTCTTACAGGAGGGACTGTCCCTACAGGGAGGGGGGCACTGCCAGGCTCTGTGGCACTGGGCTCCTCTTCCTATCAGGGGCTCACCTGTCAGCACTGTGCTCTGCTTGGCAAGCAGGATGGGCACCTGCCCGCTCCAGAGAGCACAGGCAGCACATGGGGTAGCAAGAGAGACATCTGTCCATCCATCCATCCATCCATCCATCCATCCATCCATCCATCCATCCATCCACAAAGTCATCAGGACAGGCTGGTGCAGGTGGCT